TTAATTTTACTTACTACTTTATTTCTTCATAAAAATATACAACTTATGAATAAATATTTTTAATTTTTTTCTTTCCTTAAAGTACATTGATTTTTCAACAAACCCAAGAGCTCTTTTAATTAATGCTTGATTAATGACCACTGTGCGTATGACACCCTTTAAATATCTGTTAACCCAGCTCTCCCCCCAATAATTGTCTGCCCGTCTGGATGTTATTGCTCACGTTCTCATTCTCTCAGGTGCACGCTACGCTTCAGTGGAGCGGTCTTTTCGCCCTTTTGTGCACTCTACTTTTCAGACAGGATACAAAAGTTGGAATATGAACGCTGAGAAAAGCAAGAATATTATCAACATCACAATTTGTTTACCTTTATACTCAGGATATTACTAAAATAAGTCATATCCAAACAAATATTTAAAACCAAAAAGTCACTGTTTTCTTATAGTCTTTTATGTTGTCCTTATAAAATACCTTAACTTTTAAAAATGAACAATAAATAAAATATTTTGTTTAAAAAAACTCTGTGTCATTAATAAAGTTTTCTAAATATATTTTTGAACGATCTTGAGTATATAACGTTTTCTCTAACACCCCATCTTAATTCTTAAGTCTACGATATATTCTCTAATTTAATAACACCCAAGCGATCATTAGAAAATATACACGAAACGTGAACGTTTTACATTACCAAATATATAAAGCAGGAGTCTGACGATTTCATTAGCCTGACTGGAACTTACATAAGCCCGAAACAGGAGCGGCAGGAAGAAGATGTCTCGACCTCGATGGCGATGACTTTTACTGTCGCTGGAGGTCCCTACATATATATACATTTAAATACTTATATACAAGGGCGTCGTCTGCTGGATTTGTTCGGTGAAAGGGAAAGGTTATTAGACTCGCCCCGTGCAGAATTTTAAGTGGTAAGGGGGCCCAGACATTGGCTGCTCCTTATTGTTATAATAACCTTTCTGCTTTCTGTTTTCACTGTCGACGGAAGTGGGCGGCGTCGGCGGCAGCAGGTGCCGGTGGGCGGGGCAGTGCAATGACAGCGGTCGACGTCGGTCCTTGGTCCTCGGATTGTTCGGAATACTCGGTATCCTCCCATCGAGGGCGTTACGAAAGGCCCCCCTCCCTCTAGCGGCCGTTCGACGAACTCTCGGCCCAGTCACAGGCTCAGTTTTTTGGCCAGGATTTCTCGCTTTTTCGGGATATTTCGGCCGTTGACTCGTCCTGCGGGCGTCGTCGTCGCCACATGGCGGCCTCAGTTTAATGCACTCGATGGCGGAGGTCACAGGACATCGGCCGAAACAGGGCTCTCGGTCAAAGTCACATGGCCACTTGACCCCAGACCCCGATAATCGCAGCCAAATTACAATATGATGGGGATGCGTAAGCACTAAATGTGATGGGATGAAAATAGAATTTGAAGGAGGCTTTGTAGGACGTAGGATTTTTTCGAGGAGTCAAAGGTTTTTCGGGGTCATTGGTTTGACGGCTGATGAAATAAGTAAATTATATTCAAACCACCAAACATAGAAATTAAGGGGTCAATTGTCGGAAGGCTGATAAAATATGTAAGTGAATTATTTTGGTCATTAACCAATATTTCGATGAATTCAATAATATTCAAATTACTGATCATAGAAAGTATGTACTTAGAAAATTCTTTAATAAAATAAAATAATAAACTATTGAAAATATCATAAGTAATTTTAAAAAAGGTCTTATATTATCAATACAAATTTATAATTCTTATAATTCTAACATTTCCTGCATGCACTTAATTAGGGGAAATCCATATTTTTGGCTAAACTTCTTGGCGATACTGGAATGACTCATTATAATAAAATCATGAGCTCATAGGATAGGTTGTTATAAAAGTTATCAAGATTAGAAGTTACCACATAAAAACACTTATCGCAAAAGATCGATAACAAAGAATGACTAATAAAATCAATTATCGATTTGTTGTAGGTCAGTTAACAAAAAACTAATCTGGACATCATATTATGAGAATGGTGTTTTGCCAATTAAATGATCAAATTTTAGTAGGTCAGCTACCGGATGCCAGGCTATCGCTTTTCGTTCAAGAATTTTCTTTTTCACGTTTGTCGGCCGAAAAACGGCGAACGCCTATTAACATTTTCCGCCAAAAAGTTTCTCCATCCTACTCAAGTTTCCCTCGGCGGGATGCAAAGTATTTCGCTGCGAGAAGAGAAAATGTTGAGGAAAATTCGCTGCAGATTTTATGAGGTCAAAACTCATTACAAGTTGTGGCGGCTCAAAAGGAGATGCCTGTTGCATAGTGTACACTGTACACTATACATACACGTTAGCCCCAATTCGCGGCGAGTGGGAAAAAGAAAAGCTGCAGCAAACGGCCCATGACAGTTGCAGAGTTGCAACTTTCTAATGCGGCAACAGCAACAGCGACTGCAACTGCAACAGCAAACGGATGTGGATCGCGGCGGCTGCAGCAGCAGCAGCATTATGTGTGCCACATGATGCACTGCAGCAAGATTTTGAAGCTGCTCGGCTGCAGAAAGCAAGAAAATCGAAAATTTCTCTCCACCACTGCTGATGCTTTCCACTGCAAATTACTTAACTATTTTCCCAGTTTTCGCTTTGTCGTGCAATTTGCAAACAGTTGTTGCATGTTGTTGCATATTAGCGGCAACATGGGGCGGCAGTGAAAAGTTGGTCATGACAATCAAATGGCCAACACTGCGTGGCATTCAAGGAGGGAGGGTATCTGTAGAAGGGGGAGGGGTTCCTAGCTGGTTTTTCTGCAAATGAGTGTGCCCACTGATGCATTCCGCCTGCTGCAACTGCAACTGCCATTTAGGTGGGCCCAGGGTCCCAGTGCAAACCCCTTCCTAACCTTTAGTCCTCCATTTTGTGAAGAGGTCCACTTAGTCACTGGGATGACTAACCAACTGGTAGTTGTCGTTCTACCCTAAATTGCCAGAGTGAGTCAGGTCGCTCCTTACCACAAACTTGACTTCTTAACGTTCCTTTGGGCAAAGCCATCGGTTATTATTGAGTGATCTTCAATGGGGGAGAAACTTGCAGAATATTCCCATAACTTACATTTACATATATTGCTGCACAGAAAAAAAATGCATTCTGTCATAAAAGCAATCGACTTTTCTTATATTTTGAAATTAAAACAAATCGTATTACTATTCAGAAGAGTTTTAAAAATATCTCATATTTAATTCCTTTTTATAATGACAAATTTGATTTTTGAAGAAAACTATTATTTTTAAAACTACTATCCAATTTCAAATTTAATTATCATGCCAAACTTTTTTAAGCAAAAATTCTTGTCAAAGTATGTAAAAGTGTTCAATAGAGACTGATCAAAGTATTCATTACAAATAAATATTATAATAACTATTACTGTTTTGAATTTTTTACCTTTTTTTATTGTAAATAAAATAGAATTTAAGAAAAATAAATTTCAACAAAAATTCTACACAATGGGTTATAAATTAGAATTAAAACAAAAATTTAAATTAAAATGGTCACAAATTTTTTAAAAGAAAAGGTATAAAACAAGCGGCAATAAAGGAAAAATTAGAAAATTAAGAATTATTAAATAAAATAATATTATTAAATAATATACTAAAAATATATTAGAAAAATGATTTTAGTTAGTCTCTTCGAGAAAGAGCTTACCAACTCTTCCAGCTGAAAAAATAAATTATAGCAAAACAAACAAAAAATGGAAAAAATGATTAAATTAAAAACTATTTAATAACAAATGCAATAAGTTAGTATATTCTGGAGACAGCTTACCATCTCTTCATAGAGAAATCACAATCGGCAATCTTGGTTTAAAATCCTGACAAAGCCGCTTCAGCCGTTGACTAGCTGGTGAAAATAAGAGCCCGATTTGAACAAGTTTAATTGCTGGCAGGTACTTAATAAAAAGCTCTCCACTTTTCTGGGATTAAGACTTTTCCTTGAGCCGAGACCCGAATACCGTTAGCCCCTAATTAGAAACCAGTTAAGTGTCGCAGCTCAGCACTTAACTGATCTATTAACGTACTTCTTTTCACCCATTTCTATTTATTTATTTGGTTTTTTGTCAGCTTGGTTGGCTTTTTTTCTAGTGGGCTGGGTGATCGGGAATTTAGATTCAGATTGAGAGTTCGAGATCGAGATCGCCGTGGTGCCCCAGTGATCTAATAAACGCCGCATTGTCATTCGCTCCGCTTGGCAACTCCGCAGTCTGTCACTCAATGCTTAAAGCACCGAAAAACTGGGTCACATTCATTAATTTATCGCATGCAAAACAATCCGCGAAAAAAAAAATATCTAATGCTGCAGCTGACGTTGCCATTGCCATTTTGCAGCTTTTCCGTTGCAGTCGACACACAAAAAAATAGAAAGTTTTTCGCCAATCGCCGGCGGACTGCTGCAATTTTCTCTTTGCAATTTGATTAAATAAAATATTGTGTAAAAGCGACGCCGGCAGAGCAACTTTCCAACTGCAAACTGCAAAACTGCAGCCACGACTTCTAAGTCGGTTACTAGATGCAATAATAATTGCATTTGTCCCACTTTACTTTCACTTGGCGAACAACCAACGAGCAACAAGCTGGGAGCAACAAGCAACAAGCAACTCGCAACTAGCAACTAGCAACAAAAAGCCGCAGCGCAGGCGTCGACTTTGACTTTGTGTGCCTGTTGCAGCTTTTCCATCTCTTCTCTCTGTCTGTGTGTGTGTTGCATGAAAAGTTGCAACTTTTTCCAGTCGCTTGGTGGAAATTGTTTGCCGTTTGGTTGACTGGCAAAAAGGAAAAGTGGGTCAAGCGCACCATTGTTGTTCATGCTGCTTGTGTTGCTGCTGCTGCTGCCGCTGCTGTTACTTGTTGCATGCCCCCACTTAATTGACAATTGCCTGCAACACACACATTATACGTTTGCCACTTTGGCATTTGATTTACAAAACTGGGTTACCGGCTGCTTTCCTTTTTCTCGCTACCCATTTTTTTTCGTTGCTTTAACATTTCGTCAATTTATTCACTATCATTTAAAGTTCTTTATATATTACTCAATAGAATAGTACAGCAAGTTTTAATCTTAAACATATGTATGTTCGTTTCTTTTTTACATTGCATTCAATATACTGTTGTTCTTAGCTGTACATCAAAAAATTACATTTTAAATCCAGGGTTTTAGTTTTCTTTTCACAAACTCATTTCGCCAATTTTCGTTTTGATCGAGTCTGTGCCTAATATTTACATAGATTTTGAATTTCGTAGCGTACAATGTGCTCTTCTACTTTCCTGTTTTCCTTTTTTTGGCATCGAAACAATAAATAAAGTTAGAAAGATTAAATATTAAGAGTTAGGCAAAAAGAGTGTTTGTTTGTCAGAGAACTAAGCTAAGGTAAAACTTTTCAGTGGCCGAAAAAGTCAAATTATTTAGATTTTCTGTTCTTCAAAGAGTGGAAATGGTGCTAGATTGAAAGCTCAAACAATAAATCGGGTGACTTGGTCAACAGCGTTGTACTTACAAAACAATAGAATAAGAATAAAAATAAGAAGTAATAGGAATAGCTAGGTTATCGTCGATGCAGAATGTTGGACAAGGCGCGTATCTGCTTCTGCAGCTCCGAGTCCATGCGATAGGCCTCCTCCTCAAAGATCAGCCGCATCTCCTGCAGCGCCGGCAGCTTGTCCGCCTCCATGTTGAGCAGTTCGCCAAAGAACTTGGTCCACACATGCTTCTTGAGGTAGCGCGGCAGCTTCTGTCGGATCTCCCAGCTGGAGCCCTTCTTCTGCGGCTGCATATAGTCGCCGAAGAGCATCACATGCACGGTGGCCGCAATGCAGAAGAGATCCGTTTCGTAGGACCAACTGCGTCCCTCCTGCATCTCGATGCAGGTAAAGCCATCCGTTTGCACCACCTTGCGGAACTTGGTGCGCTCCGCGTCCGGAAAGAGGGTCATGTCGATGGCGCAACCAAAGTCAATCAGCCGCAGCGATGGCAGCGAACTGTCCACATTGGGCACACGCATCAGCAGGAAGTTGTCCGGCTTGATGTCCGCATGGATGATGTGCTGCCGGTGCAGGTGGTCCACGATGTTGCAGATCTGCGCCGAGAAGTGCATCACCAGCGATTCGTGCATCACCTTGGTGGTGGCCTGCCGGATCTTGTTGTTGATGTCCAGCAGCGAGCCGAACGGCGAGAACTCGGTGGCTATTAGGCTTGCATTCGGGGCGATGATCGCCGTGGAAATGTCCATCAGGCCGGGCAACACCTCCGGGTCTGTGATGCGTTTCAGCACCTGAAAAAAAGGGAATTTTGTTTTATTTATATGACCATTTTGTTGGGTTTAAGTTGGTAGTAAAAGGAGTAGTCGAGTAGAGATAAAAATTAGTAAAATTAAAAAAAAAAAAAAGTAAATTATTAAATTGTAAAAATAAATTTAATATCTTACTTTCTTAATAATTTTGTATAGCACCTAAAAAAATACATCTTTGAAACCAAAATACAAATTATTAATATTAAACTTGTTTTATAGTACTCAAAAAGAGAGATATTTAAAAGCAAAATAAATAGTATTAATATTAAGAATTTTATGGTACTCAAAAAACGAGATATTTAAAACCAAAATAAATATTATTAATATTAAGTATTTTATAGTACTCAAAAAAGAGATATTTAAACCCAAAATAAATACTATTAATACTATTGTTTTATTTTCTATAGTACTCAAAAAAAGAGATATTTGAAACAAAAATAAATATTATTAAAACTATTGTAATAGATATTTAAAACCAAAATAAATATTATTAATACGAAGTATTTTATAGTATATAATAATATAATATAATATAATTAATAATATTGAAATATTTTTAATAGTACTCAAAAAAAGAAATATTCGAAACCAAAATAAAAATTATTAATACTTTTGTAATATTTTCTATATAACTCATAAATAGAGACATTTAAAACCAAAATAAATATTATTAATATTAAGTATTTTGTATATTTTATATCTCCCTGATTCCTCACCTGATCACATATGTAGATTTCCCAGGTGTTTGGGGGCTTCTGGTACTTGAGGGCCACCACATTGCCGGTGCGGGAGTCGGTGGCTTTGTAAACCGATCCGTAGGATCCTCTTCCCACCTCCTTGTCAATGTTAAAGGTCACGCCTTCGAGGACATTCAGCGTGCGAGTGTTGGATATTTTTGGCAGTAGTGTTTGCACAATCTTGTAGCTGGCATGCGCGTCATGATCGCCCGGAAAGTCCAGCTTGGCCAGGAAGGCGCGGCACAGTTCGCTATTAAAAGGATCGATGGCTTCCTTGGCCATGTGGCGAGCAATTGTCTCGACGGCTTTCGAGAGCCGCCGCTCCTGAGCCTCCGTATCGTGCTGGGTGGCAAAGTACGAGTTCTCCTGGAACGTGGAGAAGTCGGCCAAAGTGCTATTGCCATTATTATTGTTGCTGGTGTTATTATTATTGTTCGTGGTGTGCGTCTGCAGGGTCTTATTGACCGGATGGAGGATTTGCTGCTGTTGCGAAGTATCGCGGAAGTTGAGTCTATCCACGGCCAAGGCCAGCGAGCTATTTGAGTTATCCAAAGCGGTGGCGCTGGAGAAGGAAAAATTGGCATTATCATTGAATGCCACACTACTCGAGCTGGCAGCTTCCGCCGCCGAGGAAGCCGAGTTACTGTTGCTGCAGAGATCCGGCTGGAACTTGCTGCGCTTGACTTTGGTGCGTGCCCTGCGATAGCCGTTCGCCTCGCTCTTCGGCGTGGATGTCTGGCCCAGCATGTAGGGATGAAAGTGATGATGGCCGCCACCGTTCCGGTGACGCTGGATGGGAATTGGAGAAGCGGGCGCAGGTTCCGGCGGCGCAGGATGAACTGCCGGCGGTGGCTGCTGGATTATCTGTTGCTGTGGTTGTTGCTGCTGCTGTTGATGCTGATAAACATTCTCTATGGTATAGGCACTGTAGGTGCTGCTGGGCTCCTTTTTGAACTTGATCTTGATTGAGCGGTTCTCCTGCTCGAAAGTGGTTTGCGCACTGAACTGCACGCCATTGGTGTAGGGTTCGCTGGGCTCCTCCTCCTCGTCGTCGTCCTCCTCCTCATCAGATTCATCCTCTTCATTAGCACCTGCTGCTTCCTCCTCCTCCTCCTCTTCAGCCTCCTCCGCCTCGTTGTCTTCATTCTCCTGACCACTGCTATTGTTGTTCTGCCCGTAAAGAGCTCCGTCCACGGCAGTCATGTAATAGGATGTCTGCGACTCGTAGGAATCATAAAGAGTTTGTTGCTGCGGCTGTTGTTCTACCGGCTCTTCTTCCTCCGCTGCTGCTGCTGGCTTGGCCTTCTGTTCCATCAACTGTTTATACTTTCTGGCCAGTATCTCCTCGGGACTGTACTCTATCCCAGCTCCCGGTGGATAAACCAACTGCTTGGCATAGTGGCACACCCGCGAGGGATCGTCGGGCTCTTCGAGCGTGAGAGCAGGCTTCCAGGTCTCATGGTTGTTGCGCCCGTAGGCGTGGAAATTGCGCGGCAAACGCAGGCCAGCTATTTCGCTGGTCACGGGGGGATTACTAGGTTGAACCACAGGCTGTGGATTGCCATTGCCATTGTGTTGCTGCTGTTGCGCTTGCTGTTGCGTTGCTGCAGGCTGTTGTGGCGGCGGCAACTGTTGCTGTTGCGCTGGTGCGTAGTTAGGCTGAAAAAGGAAAAGGTATCCTTTATAAAAGAGTTTTATAAATATGGTAAAAATGCTTACCTCTGCCACTGGATTATATTGCTGCTGCTGGACATTGGCTGTGGGAATTGCTGCTGCTGCAGGCTGTGGCTCATAGCGTGGCTGCTCCTGGTAGTGAGCCTGCTGATAGGCCGCCGGCTGTTGAGGTTGTGCGACGGGATGCGGCTGATATTGCTGGTAGACATTCTGCTGATATGGCTGGGGACGGTGTTGCTGCTGTGGTGGATAGCTCTGCGGCATCTGCTGCTGTGCATAGTTGGTCAGTTGCTGCAGTGCATCAGGCTGTTGTTGCAACTGCTGCTGCTGCTGCAATTGCTGCTGTTGCTGCTGCCGCTGATGAAACAACGACCTAGCATAACTAAACTTGGTGTGGGCATGCTGCAGCTCCGAGTTGCTCTGCGCCTTCTCCTGGAAGGCCAGGTTAAAGACCGCCTCGGCATCCTTGAACTCCTCGCGCGACTCGTAGTAGGCGGCCCAGCCAATGTAAAAGGCGGCCACCTGGCGACCGGTGCCCCGTTGAAACAAAACCTGGTAGAAGTGCAGCGGATCCGTTTGCATAGCTATATACTTAAGCCATAGCCTCACCAAGCGGGCATCCTGTCGATAGTAGTCGTTGTGCTCGTAAACAGTGAGACAGCGTTCCAGAGTCTCCCTAAACTTGAGCTCCGGATCGCTGTGCGCGTGGTTTTCGTACCAGCAGATGTAGTTGTACCAGTGATCCAGGGGATCGGGTCCCTGGTAGAGGGAAATGGCATGCTCCCAGGCCTGCTTGTCCTTCAGGAAGCCGTGCATCTCATCCGGACTGGCCAGCGGCGGTTGTCCAGCTGCTACGATTCCTGCTGATCCTCCTGCAGCTCCTGCGCCGCCGCTTCCCGATCCCTGGCGCATGTACGAGTGCATGGCCATGACTCGGGGATTTCCCTGATCCTGATCCTAATCCCGCCGTGGATCGTGGAAAAAACAAAGAATCCGCTTGCTTTCCTCTCCACTCGCAAGTCTCGGATTTCGGATTTTGGATTTCGGAGTGCTGCAGTGGTGCCCCTCTGGCCGAGATTCGACCGGATTTGGCGCCCTCACTCAGTTAATCCCTCGGCGTCGTCGCCTGGCACCGGTGGCACATGATTTTCCGGTTGAGTTTTCCACTCGCTGGCTGCGATCACGGATATTTTTGATTTTTTCCTCTTTTTAGCTTGCAAATGGAATTTTATTAGTGCTGCAAAACAATCGATAGAACTATCGGCTGGCGGCTGTCGGAGCGATGGACTGCTATCGATAGCGCGATAGAAACGTGTTGTTGCGGGTTTTTAACTTAAATTAAATTACTTATAAATTATATGATTAAGGTGTGGAGTTTTTAACTAAGAATAATTTAAAATTGATTTAATTCTCCTTAAGTTTGTTTAAATTTGCAACTGCCTTTGTTGCACTGCTTTGTTGCCCAAGCAAGCAGTTTAACTATGTCGTTTTACAACACTTAACATATAAAAAGATAAACAACGTGAAAGCTATTTAAATTGAATTTATTTGTAATTAAAATTATAAATTATAGATTCTTTTTATTTTAATTTAGTTTCAATTGCATTTTCCAAACAATACTCCCGATAGTCCCAAAACTAAGCGATAGTGCCACCTCCATCAGAAGTTCGCTAACGGCCCACCAGAGGGCGCCACCGTACAATATTACTGCATTATTGTTTTTTATCAGAAATTACGCTATTCCTAATCCCCAAAAAAACCGCAAACGCGCGAGTGTTTATGTTTCGTCTCCAAGTGCATATCATAGATTAGTAGTGTTAGTAACCCCGCAGCGCCCTGCTCTCCAAAAATACACGCGTAATTCCCCCCACCCACGCACTCCCAGTTTTTTTTGTTTTCGACCCCTGACTGCGTTTGTGGATTTTCCCCAAAAAAAAAACGAAGAAAAATTTTGGGCACCCTATCGATTTCACCGGCCGCAAACTGAATTCCCCAGGATAATAGCACGGATAATGGAGGTTTCCGCCGATCCCTACGAGCAGAAGCTCTATCAAATGTTCCGGAGCTGCGAGAAGAATGGAAATGGCCTGCTGGACGAGAAGTCGCTGCTGAAATTGTGCTCCCTGTTGGAACTCCGGGATCAGGGATCCGCACTGATCACCAGTTTGGGCGGCAGTCACCAGGTGGGCGTGTCCTTTGGCCAATTTAAGGAGGCGCTACTCAATTTCCTGGGATCCGAATTCGATGGTACGACGTCATCGGGCTTTATGGGTGAGATAACACTAAGAGTCGTCGGTCCGGTCACCCATACTAGGAATATCGTGAGATATATAGCCGCTATAGCTAACGCGACAGGTTCTCATAAAGCAACATCATCATCATACGGGGCTTATCTGTAATTGCGCCTTAATTGCCTTTCAAACAACATCAGATAATTACAGATTGTTTGCCAGCCACTTATTAGAGATAGTAATTCCGTTTTGACGGGGAGTTTAGAATGGAATATACAGAAGTTTTTCAATAAATCAATCAATATTCACAAAAATGTTATAGAACACCAATTTAAGATGATTAGAACTAGATCTTCCGAGATCCTATGGAACAGTGAACTTTTAACATTTTATTCCATATTTCTTATAGCAACTGTACGATCTTTAAAACGGAATATAGAGAAGTTTTTTAATAAATCAATCAATATTAACGATAATATTATAGAACACCAATTAAAGATGCTTAGAACTAAATCTTCCGAGATCCTAAAAAACAGTTAATCTGCTACCTATGACATTAACATTTTATTCCATATTTCTTATACCAACTGTACGATCTTTAAAACGGAGTATAGAGAAGTTTCCCAATAACTCAATCAATAATCCCAAAAATGGTAGATAAGATCAATTTAAGATGATTAGAAATAGATCTTCCGAGATCCTAAGGAACAGTTAACTTACCACCTATGAAATAAACATTTTATTCCATATTTCTTATATCAACTGTACGACTTTTTAACAAACCAGTTTCTCAGATTTAACAAGTAACACCACAAATTTATAATATTAATTCCATTTCATTAATAACAAACCCGATAATCAATTAAAATGAAGTAAAACCAATAATACTTTCAAAAAGATATTCTTATAGCAGCTATAAAGTGTTGTAATCTATGCGAAAATCTAAGGGCTAATTTGCAAGGATCAAGTAGAAATACGTATACCCAAAATTTTCAAATCTTATCCGCTGGTGTGGAAATTTTCTAGTCAAAAATAGGATGCCGAAGGGTACGAATATCATAATCAGTTCGCGGATTAGCACATTGGCAGCTGGCGGTCATAAAACCAAAGATGCAATTGCCAATTTTTTACGACCCACAACTGGTGGGGTCGCCTACCTGATCCTAAAAGCAAACCTTATCAGGTAGTCTGCATATCTGGTGGTCCTGCATAAATACGAGGCTCATTCAGTTCAGCATCTTAGTCTCTATCGAAATGGGAACACGATTGTATTACCGCCAATCTGGCGGACAGTTATGCGATCCGATTATTGAGAAGTTAGCCGCTCGCTTTGGTAGTCACCTGAGATCCATTCAACTCCTCCAGTTCGCTACTAACCTATATTTGTTGAATCTTTCAGAGCGTTCGCTGGTGATCACAGATGAGCCTTTGACCAGCACATATATCGAGAGTCCTCCGGAGTCTTCCGATCGCGAAGTTTCACCCAAACTCATAGTGGGCACCAAGAAGTACGGACGCCGCTCCAGGCCGCATCAGGGAATCTACGAGTTGTCCGTCACGGATTCGGATAATACGGACGAGGATCAGCTGCAGCAGCAGCAGAAGCAGCGGAGTCTCAACGGCTGCGATGAGCTGGGAGTTCAGGTGGGTGTTTTATAAAGTTAATCATGAAGTCACGTACTAAGTGGCGATACAACTTCTGGCGGTGTAAGCGATAATGATTAGTAAACAGATTTTTTTTATGAAGTGGAAATACTTATAGCACAGTAGATAGTGATGAAGTAACTTAATAAGTTGGTCAAAAATGAAATCTCAAATATTAAGTTCAGCTTTTTTTATTGAGATTTTATATTTACAACACATAGATTTAAAGGACTAAAAATAGCCATCAATCAAAATGCTTTTCTCAAATATTTAGTTCAGAAGTTTTTATTGAGATTTCATATTTACAACACAGAGAAAAAAATTACCAAAAGTTGTCATCAATCGGGTATTTTTTCATATAAATTTTGGTCCGTTCTGTGTGCATATCAATATGATATTACATATAATTTTGCACCATATTGATATGAATGATTGATATGAAATCTTAGCATTATGTTTTGGAAAAATTTATATGAAATAAGATCAATTTGATATTGTTCCGTTTTTTTCTCTGTGTAGGGCTAAAATCTCTCCTCAGCGGATATAAACACTACTTTTAAAATATTTTTTACAAATTCTGATGCTCCAGCATTACGGACTTGGGATCTACACTGATTTCTAAAATGTCAACGATTGTATTATATTAATATATTATACTTTATAATAAAACTATCTAATTTTCCCTTCTAACAGGTCCAACGTTCCTCCTCCCAGAGCGATCTTCCCGGCAGCCGACGGCTGCGTTCCGTTCACACCAGCGGTAGCAAGCTGAAGAGATGTGCTTCGCTGCCGGCACGCCGGATTATTCAGTCCAAAATGCACAACACCTCCACGGGGGCGAATACTTCACCGACGGCCGCGGCCAAGTTGAAGCAGCTTTCCACCCAGAGTCAGACGCAGCACAGTAGCAGCGTGGAATCACTGGGTAAGCTATTATCTCCGTCCCCGTTTGCCCCTGCCACTCCCCCTTTCCCTTGTTGTTGTTAGCCCAAAATACCCAAAATTACGTTTGAAGCAATGATTAAAGTACAAAAAACACTCGTAGGCCATCACCTGGCCTCCGATCACCGGAGAAGCTACCACGGCGGCCGTTGGTCAAGTTGCAAAGGTTTGTGCGCTCTCGAGCAATTGTCAACACACCACCTCCCAAAACCCACACCCAAAACCACCGAAAACCCCAACCCACCAGTCATTCGGTGTCTAATCGCACCCTATGTAGCCGCACATTTGATTCGCTCTATTTACTCGTATAATCACATATCCTAAATTTCCTACCCCTAGTAAAGCTGTTCGCTTCTTGAGGATTTCAATAAATATGTAGCTTAAGGAGAAGTATTTAATTAAAGCTATATTATTAAAGCTATCATCCATTAAATAGGAACGTTAATTATTTTTTCCGTTTTATTGATTTATTATTTTTTTGAAGAACCATTGGATAATCACATATCCTTAATTTCCTACCCCTAGTTTACTCCTTGAAGAGTTCAATAAATATGTAGCTTAATTAAAGCTATGGTGTTATATATATAATCAATATTAGGATAGGAATATTATTGCTTTGGAACTTTAATTTTTCGATTTTCTTGATTTATGATTATTTTGAAGAACCATTTGATTCGTTCTATGTACTCTTATAATCACATCTTCCAAATTTCCTACCCCTAGTAAAGCTGTTTAATCAAAGCTATAGTATTGAATATATAGACAATATAAAAGCTATCATCCATTAAATAGGAACGTTATTGATTTGGAACTTTTATTTTTCCATTTTCGTGATTATTTATTATTTTACTCGGGTAATCATATATTCTACATTTCCTACCCCTAGTAAACCTGTTTACTCCTTGAGATCTTCAATAAATATGTAGCCCAAGGAGAAGTATATAATTAAAGCTATATAATCAATATTAAGCTAGGAACATTATTGATTTGAATCTTTTATTTTACCTTTTTCTTGATTTATTATTATTAATTTCCCCCTTTTGAAGAACCATTCGATAAAGAGAAACAGCAAACTTTCGGCGCTTTCGCTTACACCATCGACAACCACAACCACAACCACATCCACACCCACAACCAACCCACTCCCAATCCCACACACCCACCTGGTATCTTGGGCTATATTCGTATATTTAATGTGTACATATATAAAAACAGAGCCGCTTATCTTATTCGTCCCACGCTAATTGTTAATTGCTAATGATGATTTCCAGACACGGTGACGCCGCAGCAGCTGGAGACGATCTCGGTGCACAGCATCATCGAGGCCTGGGAGCTGGCCAGCATTGTGAACAGTCGCACTTTGCTCCATGTGCTCGGTTTCGATGAGGAGGAGGAGGTGAATCTGCAGCAGCTGACCAAGGCGCTGGAGGAGGAGCTGCGCGGTCTGGATGGCGATCAGGAGCAGTCGAATATGCTGCGTGCTTTGGCCGCTCTGCAAACCACCGAGTTGGCCAACTACCGACTGGCCTTCCGGCAGCAGCACGAGGAGAACCTCAAGCTGAGGGCAGATAATAAGGCGGCCAACCAAAGGGTTGCCTTGTTGGCCGTAGAAGTGGATGAGCGGCATGCCTCGCTGGAGGACAGCTCCAAGCAGCAGGTGGCGCAGCTGGAGCAGCGACATGCCAGCATGGTGAGGGAACTCACGCTGCGAATGAGCAATGATCGCGATCATTGGACCAGCATGACGGGCAAGCTGGAGGCGCAGCTGAAGGCCTTTGAGCAGGAGGAGATTCGTCTCAAAACGGAGCTCGAACTGCTGCGCGCGGAGAACGCGGAACTGGAAACGGAGCAGCAAAAGGCGCACGTACAACTCACCGAGCTGCTCGAGCAGAACATTAAGCTTAATGAGGAACTGGCCCACAGGCCGAGCATCGCTGGCACTCCCGAGCACAGTCCATTGCGTCCGCGCAGGCACAGCGAGGACAAGGAGGAAGAGATGCTGCAGCTGATGGAGAAGCTGGCTGCTTTGCAAATGGAGAACGCCCAGCTGCGTGACAAGACTGACGAACTGACCATCGAAATCGAGAGCTTAAATGTGGAGCTAATCCGTTCGAAAACCAAAGGGAAGAAGGAGGAACAGGAGGCGGCTGCCACGGCCACCAAAAGGCGCGGAGATTCCCCTAGCAAAACACATCTTACAGAGGAAAGTCCGCGCCTGGGAAAGCAGCGCAAGTGCACCGAAGACGGCGAGCAGAGCGGCGATTGGTTGGCTTTGAACTCTGAGCTGCAGAGGAGTCAAAGCCAAGATGAGGAGCTAAACAATCTCAGGCAAAGGGTGACCGAATTGGAGACCGAACTAAAGGCCGCCAAGGAGGGCAGATCTCTCACCCCCGAAAGCCGCTCCAAAGAACTCGAAGCCAGCCTCGAGCAAATGCAGCGCGCCTATGAGGATTGCGAGGACTACTGGCAAACGAAACTCAGCGACGAGCGGCAGATGTTCGAGAAGGAGCGACAGATCTACGAGGATGAGCAGCACGAGAGCGACAAGAAGTTCACCGAGCTGATGGAGAAGGTGCGCGAGTACGAGGAGCAGTTCAGCAAGGATGGCCGCCTGTCGCCCATCGATGAGCGGGATATGCTAGAGCAGCAGTATGTGGAATTGGAGGCAGAGGCGGCCCAACTGCGCACGAGTTCCGTGCAAATGCTCGAGGAGAAGAGCCAAGAGATTAGCTCCCTGCAGTCGGAGATTGAGGATCTGCGACAGCGGCTGGGCGAAAGCGTGGAGATTCTCACGGGTGCCTGTGAACTCACCTCCGAATCGGTGGCCCAATTAAGTGCCGAGGCGGGCAAAAGTCCAGCCAGTTCGCCCATCAGCTACTTGTGGCTGCAGAGCACCATTCAGGAGCCTGCCAAATCCCTAGCCGATCGAGATGAGGCCACCGCCAGTGCCATCGAACTGCTGGGAGGCTCGCCATCGCACAAGACAGCCAGTCGGTGAGTATGCGAAGCCACTCTCTGTGTGTCCATGGTGTTTGCATCCTCATAATTTGCACTGTTTTGTCCTGTACATATATGTTTTGATTTAGTTCCTCACATCTAACCATATCATATCTAAGCTAATCTAGTCTTTAAGTTTATGTATGTGTTTGTTCAATAAATATAATTTATACTCACAAAGGAATTCATAAAGGTCTTGAGTTATAAAAATAAATTTCAGCGAAAAATAAACTTGAATAAGTTTATAAACATATCCATTCGAAAAAGATTACTAAAACCTTTGAATGTTTAGAATCTTAAAATTCAGGATTACAAATTAAATAAAATCGGAGAATCAAAATTTGATCTTTTAAAATTTTTTTCGTTGAAAAAGCTTAGGTAGGTGCTATAATAAAATGTTTTCCAGAATATCTTAGGCAAAATGTAGGTAATAAGAAATTCATTGGCCACTATTTCAAATAAATGTCCTTGGTTAATTTTAAAATCAGAATCATTTGACACTAAATATTATTTAAACGATAACAAAGTAATTATACCATAATATTGCAGTTTTTTAATGTTTTCGAAAGCTTTCCTATGTATACATTACGATTCCATAAATTCCCTAATTGCTTCGTTTGAACAGCAATAACCTCACCACTTCGGAGACATCCATCTTCAGCACCACACCCTTTGAGAGCTCCCAATCGAATCCTTCGCCCACGAACAGTGGTACCACCAATGTCGGTCCAGCGCCCATCAGCAAACCCAAGCGGGCCCAGAGTCCTCAGCAGGTTCAATCGGAGGGAGAGATTGCCGATTGTGAGACCTCGTCGACGGCGTCCAACAAGAGCTTCGAATCCACCAGCAAAACATCTTGCCTTAGCCACGAAAAGTGCAGCAGTCCGTCGGCCCTGAAGGAGGAACTGAAACGACTCAAGTTCTTTGAGCTTTCCCTCAAGGAGCAGATCAAGGATTTGAGCCTTCAACGCGACGGTTTGGTAATGGAACTGCAGCAGTTGCAGGAGGCACGACCCGTGCTCGAAAAGGCCTATGCGGTGAGCAGAACAACTAGTTAGTTATGGTATATATTTTAATATAAATTGTATATCTGTTCTTTAGCGAACAACGCATCCAACGCTTCAGCAGCGACTGAACCAATTGGAGCTGCGGAATCGCCATCTGCAGAATGTCATCAAGCAGCAGCAGCAGTACACCGAGTCCCTGATGCAGCGTGAGTAAATTAAAGGGGTTTTTAAAAAAGAATATTTAGTAAAATAAATTATATCATCCAGAATCCTGGCGGCAGCATCAAGTGGAGCTCAATGAACTGCATAGCCGCATTGAAACCCAGGGAGTTATGCTGGCCGATCAAACACAGCGCCTGCAGAGTGCCGACATCCTGGTGAAGGATCTCTATGTGGAGAACTCTCATCTGACGGCCACTGTGCAGCGTTTGGAGCAGCAGCGGGCCAGGGTGAACCTTATCCATCAGCAGCAGCAACAGCAGCGACTTGTGGGCGGCGGACTGCCCGGCATGCCTTAGTTTGCCAATCCTGTTTTGGCAAACGGATATAGTTTATAGTTAAAGAAAAAAAACAAAAGACAACCTGAGAAGAGGTGCTCAGCATCAGCAGACATCGAACATGCACCTATATATCGTTATAGACTAAGTTTGCATACTCGTCGTATTCGTACGTTGCGTTTTTTTGTGAATGAATGTGAATATCCATGTTGTTCGACACGAGAGCACCGCGGCAGCAATAACCAATGTGACTTTAACTTAAACTTAAAACTCACCCACGCGCAAATGAGGAACAATCCACACTAGTGTACCAATTTGTAACACATCTAGTAAGCGACTAACCTATATGAACGGAGAAACTATTTACACACACTAAATGTATACTCGATTGGACATAGGAGTACCCAGCATATATATAGACATATGTTCGTTCTTGTCTCACTGAAATGTTGACCTTACTAATTGACTACTGAAATAGTTATCGTATATTAATTATATTAGAAGAAACAGTATTTTAAATTTGTTATGCGTCTGAGTAGGCGAGCACGTTTATCAATGTTTACCACGTGCCCAAATCAAATGCATCGGAATTGTTGTTAATTTTATTGGTAGAGAAAGCGAAAATGAGCGTGAAAAAAAATGATCTATAATATTGATATAATGTAATAACGACAAAAGACCTGTAAAGCTGTAACCATACACACGAATCTATGTATTTAAATTGCGATTTAAGTTAGCCAATACTCTTCAATATTGCTTTTGCGAACGCGACATTTTGTTAAACCTTTTTTCGTCCCAATAACTCACTCTATTTAAATGTATAAAAAACCCTCAATTTAGTTACTTGCCACTCGATTCACTTAACTGTGGCGATCAGTGCTTCAATCAATACTTTCGATCAAAATAGAAGTTTACTTTTTAAAAGTATCAAAAAAATAATACAACAAAAAAACCAAATATACAATTATTTAAAAAACCGAATCATAAAGAGTTGACTTTATTTTCTTGGGGGCTTTATTAGTTATAGGTTAAATTTTAGCTGCGCTTTGTTTTTAATTTGTAATACTTTATCAAGAAGAAATTGTTACACTTTTTTGTTGTTAAATAATTAAGAAGAAAATATGAAATGGTCTTATCATAGGCTATTGCAATCACTGCAATATTAATGAGAATGCAAAAAAAATTCTTGGAACACACTTAGTTTGCTGAATTCACATTTTTGGGAACTATTACCAGTGCATTTTAATAGTACAGATCGGGTATAAATAGAGATCCCACAGTGAATCAAATATCAGTTTCAAAGTTAAGAGCTTAAGCTACAACATGAATCCTACCATTTTCTTTGGGTGAGTCATAATAATCCCTATTTAAAAATATAACTTTAATTTTAATATTTTTTCTTAGTTGCCTATTGGTTCTCACAGGATGTCTTCTTGGAAGAGGAAATGCCGAAGGGGACGATGAGTTCACTATTGAAAAACAACGCTTACTTCATGTGTATGGCAATTCTACGGTTTCTGAAGCCACTCGGTTTAGAAATGTCGACGAGCTAGTCAATTTCTATGACAAATACTCGTCTTCCCTCGTGTTGCCAAATCATTTTAAAGAACGTGCCGAAGATATCTTCAAGAGGTATAAGGAGCAAAATTCTCGTGCTGTTCAAGTGGATGGTGTTCCGGCTCAAGGAGGATTCTGGAAGCCTCTGCTCAAGTATCTCATTGTGCAGCTGGGCGTGGAACTTGCCTCTGAGGGAATCAAACGTGCTACAGAATCTTAAGTCTCAATTGGGATGATATATTCACCCAAAAATATATATTTGGTGTTAAATAAATAACATTAGTCAGCACCTAAATACATTATTTTGAACATAATATTCTAACCTTTTCTTATTTTGGGTTTTTGTTATTTAAAGTCTCTGACATTATCGATATTCATTTACCAGCCCAAGAATGGGAATGGTTTTCTCATGGGAAGAAAATTCATTAGGGACATCAAAGATCAAAGATGTTTGGTCTTCTGCCTGCATTTGGTCGTAGTTTTGGGCATTGCCTGGCCAAATGAGGCATCCTGACATAATCACTAGGCAGCTGGGGAAAAGCTTTATTTATACTGATTTTTCCCCAGGTTATTCCGAAAATAATCGATTCTTGGAGTAAAATCTAATACCAAAAAATAATGCTTTTGTTTTTCTTGTGGAATAATCTCTGGTGATTTGTTTATTTCTACTTATTATTGCAATTAAATTGATTGCAATTAAATTGGTTGATTCACATAGCCCACGATAAGCCAATATGAGATTGTTACATAGTTTTCGCTGATTGAAGATAGTGAATATAAAAAGTGAATTAAAAATTTAAATATGAGAAAATATGAGATTTTTGTTCTGAGTATAAAACGAAATTAAGCGAGTTCCCAAAAAGGTGGAATACAGACTGCTTTGTTCAAAAAAATGTATTTAAGTGCTTATAAATGTTATTTAATTGACACAAAATATACAGTTTCTGGTGAGTTATACTGCATTCTAATTAGGACTTAAGATTCTGTAGCACGTTTGATTCCCTCAGAGGCAAGTTCCACGCCCAGCTGCACAACGAGAAGCTTTATCAGGGACTTCCAGAATCCTCCTTGTGCCGCTACACCATCCACTTGAACATCACGAGAGTTTTCCTCCTTATACCTCCTAAAGATATCCTGGGCACGTTCTTTAAGGGGATTTGGCAATAGGAGGACAGAGGAGTATTTCTCATAGAACTTGGCTAGATCGTCGACATTTCTATATCTTGTGGCTTCATCCACCGAAGAATCGCCATACACCTGAAGTAAGCGTTGTTGTTCAGTAGTGAAATCATCATCTACTTCGGCATTTGCTCCTCCAAGAAGACATCCTGTGAGAACCACTAGGCAACTAAGAAAAAATATTATAATTTGGGTTCTTTTTACAATAAGGGAATTCTACGACTTACCTAAAAAAAATTAAAGGATTCATCTTGTTGCTTAAGCTTTTGATTTCGAAACTGATATTTGATGCATTGTGGGATCTCTATTTATACCCCTTCTGACATCAAGTAGCTCAATCTAAAATGTGAATTCAGCTAATTGATTTTATACCGAGAATTGATATGCATTCGCATTTATTTTGTAATCATTGCATAGAGAGATAAGCGTGACAAGTTATTGTTACGTAGTTTTCGAAGAATCCTATAGTATAGTATATATATATTATAGTATATTTAGTTTTCAAGGGAATATGTTTAATCAGCACTGTGTTATTTCTTTAAATTTTAAAAACATTTACTAGTGCACCTTAGTTATACAGCTTTAAATGGTTGATGTCAGAAGAGGTATAAATAGAGATCCCAAAAGGAATCAAGTATCAGTTTCGAAATCAAGAGCTTAACTTACAACATGAATCCTACCATTTTCTTCAGGTAAGTCGTAGGATTCCCTTATTGTAAAAAGAACCCAAATTATAATATCTTTTTCTTAGTTGCCTCTTGGTTCTTACAGGATGTCTTCTTGAAGGAGGAAATGCCGAAGGCGATGATGATTTTACTTCTGAAAAACAACGCCTACTTCATGTTTATGGCGATCCTTCGGTTGATGAAGCCACTAGATATAGAAATGTCGACGATCTAGCCAAGTTCTATGAGAAATACTCCGCTGACCTCTCATTGTCACAAGATTTCCATGCACGTGCCCAGGATACCTTTAGAAGGTATAAGGAAAGAAAGGCTCAGGCTGTTCAAGTGGATGGTGTTCCAGCTCAAGGAGGTTTCTTTGTGCCTCTGCCGGACCTTGTCATTGTGCAGCTGGGCGTGGAACTTGCAGCTGAGATAATCAAGCTTACTAAAGCGTCTTAAATCTGAATAAGGATGAAATATGACTCTCCCGAAACTGTATATTTGGTGTCAATAAAAAACCATTTATAAGGACTTAGATAGGTTTTTTTAATATAATATTCCGTATTTTACCTATTTAGGAACTCGCTCAATTTCGTTCTCATACTTACGTTTTTAATTCACATTTTATATTCACTATCTTCAATCCGCGAAAACTTTAGGACAATCTCATATTGTGGATCATCGTGGGCTATGTGAATTATTCAATTGAATTGCATTAATGAATTATAAATAAACAAAACGTCAGTGATTATTCCACAAGAAAAAGCAGAGTACTTTTTATTGTTGATATTTTAGGAATTAGAGTTGGATTTTGTTCCGAAAATTATTTTTTTGGAAAATTACTTGTTGCACCAAACTGAAATTAGTATAAATAAAGCTCAATACGTCAGTTTCAGTTTCCAAAGAGGTCGCAATTCTTTTGGGGTAATTGCTTATGAAGATGATTATGACGAGGACTACTGAAAAACAACTTTTCTTGCTTTCTTTAACGGGACAAAGAAATAACATTTTTAGATGTCTTGGAATTTGATATTAACAATATAAACTGTAAATTGAGAAAGTAAACAAAACGTCATTAATATTCAGGGATTTTCCTAACCGAAATTTAACAATTCAACAGTTTAGGAAATTGCATTGTTTTTCACTTGCACAGTATCAGGGTTGTACTATAGATGTTGCAAAGTATGAGAGGGTCGACTTTTAAAACCCAACTGAATGCAAGAATTTTTAAAAGTACCGCGGGTACTTTATTAATTAATTTCTCTTTTTGAAAGTAACGTATTTTCCGTCAAAAATGTTAGAGTTAACATTTGAGTCACTTTTTTATCGCGGTTTACAGAGCTGTTTAACAGTGCGCAAGAACTGAAGTGAATAAAGGCGTTAGTACATGTTAAAATCGGCCATTTAAGCGTGACCGTACGGCGTAAAATTTCCTAACGCCTCGCGGTAGTTTCGACCTGCGGTCACACTCGTGTTTGTGGAATTAAATAAAATGTTTTGTTTTTTGTTGGTTTTCGGTGTAAACGTGATTTTTGTGCATTTAACAACTGGTGAGTGGATAGTTTAGTGAAGGAATATGAACAAAATCGAACTGAAAAGCCGGAAAACCTATATATAAAGGATTTTTCCATGATGCGCGCATATACATGTGTGTGTGTTTGTGTTTGGTGCACTGGCAGTGCATGTGACTGTGAGTGTGTGTGTGTGCGTGCGGTTTGTTTTGTTATTCGATGCGCAAAATGGAAAAATATAATTAAATTAAGCATTTGTTGGCGAAACCATGTTATAATAAAGACCCTTGGAAGCCACCCTCAAATCGACCTAGGAAAAATCATTAATTGGATTTTCAGGCACAGTATTTATATGGTCAAAAATGTGAAGGACGCATTCTTTCCGTTCAAATGTTTAAACCATATTTTACCTTTAATTCCAAAGTTTGTTTAAATAACTGGATTCCACGTGCGGCAGCTTTGTTTATATCGAGTTCTAGAAATGTTTGTAAACCGTCCCGTTAACTTCAACCATTATTTTCCCATATCTTATTGGCAGCGAAGAAATTTCTGCAAGTGCATCTGATTTTGTGTTGGTTCTATAAATAATTATTGATAATTACATTGTTTACGGTAGAAACATGTTCGATGGAATTTGTGATTGTATTGCAGTCTGTTAACAACGGAGGTCTATGAGTTTTGCTACTTCTCCTTAGCAAAACTTAATCAATTAATTTCAGTTATTTATTTATTGTAGAACCTCAACTTAAAAATCACACATTTAATCAATTGACTTAAGCATACTTTACGAATTTTGTAAAATTCTAAATTATGATCTTTAAATATTCAAAAATATAAATTAATAAAGGATTAAAGAGTTAAATCCGGAGTTAAATATTTTACTTTAATACAAATCCTGTTAAATATTACAATAATACAAATTTATTTTTAAATGTAAATCTACAGTAATTAAAATAAAAGGTTTAGGTCTTTGCTAAGTTTTTTCAAATTACAAATATTTTGTGTGGAATACTTTTAGGCATCAACAAAAAATTTGGTCACTCTAAAATTTATATTAAGTTTAAAAATTAGAAGAATAGAAATTCAAAGAAACTATTTGTCTAATTGTAACATCATCAAACATAAAAATGTAAAAGTCATGTTAATACAATTGTTTTTAACATAGTAAATCACTACTGAAGCCTTGCCTCAAATTTCACCTTTATATTCTGCTGGGTGCGCAGAACGATTCCGTTCTCGAAAGTAAGATCCTCTAGTTGAGTGGCGGGCAGTAGCTTAAAGTTTCTGATGACCGCTGCCAAAAGCACCTTCATCTCCAGGATGGCAAACTTCTGGCCAATGCAGTTTCTTTGACCGGCACTAAAAGGCACAAAACTGAATGGATGACGATTGGCGGTGTTCTCGGGCAGAAAACGCTCTGGCTGGAACTGATTGGGATTCGGGAAATGACGGGGATCCCTCATAATGTCGTACAGGTGGATGCTGATCTGAGCATCCTTGGGCAGGACTAAACCGTTCACCACACATTCCTCCACGCACTTTCGTCCAATCTGCGGGGCAGGAGGAAACAACCTAAGAGATTCCTTAATCACACACTCCAAGTAGACCAGCTCGTTGAACTGGAACACACTGATCTCATCACTATCCTCCGAAAGGTTTTGGATCTCCTCGTAGCAGCGCTTTTGGACATCCTCATGCAGGGCCAACATGAGCAGGGTGAAGATCAGACAGGTGGATGTCGTATCGTATCCCCCGAACATAAAGGTGTTGACCTCATCACAGATTCCTTGATGATCAATCCGACCTTCTGCTTCGGCTGCCAAAAGAGTATCCAACATGGCATATCGCTGCTTTTTACCAAATTCATCCACTTCTCCCAGTTGTTTTTGCTGAAATACCTTCCTTTTCCTTTGAATAATGCGACTTGAGAAGTCGTGTATTATTTTCAGTTTCTCTGTTTGCCTTCGATAATCTCCGCAGAGGAAGAAGTACCAGTCGTAATACATCAGTGGGTTGCAAATGCGCTGATTAAAAATGTCCTCAAAATCATGGATGGCCTTTCGGTAATCGTTTCCCTCCGACATGTCATCCAGTTTCACTCCCAAAGCGGTTTCTGTTTCAAATATAAGAATTCCTTAATATCTAAATATTACAACTTAAAGATTTCACTTACCACATATATTATTCAGAGTAAATTGTGGAATAATCTGATTAAGTTCCAGCTTTGCGCCTGCGTTTTTGTCTAAAACTTTTATAAACTTCTTGCACTCTTCTCTGAAATAATACCACATCTTAAAAAAAATATAATTATAAATTGATTCAGTCAAACCCACTTAAAAATAGAGAGAAAAGACTGCAGAACATTGAAATGAAAGGCAGGTGTCAAAGTTTTCCGTCTAGTGTGCCATTTATGGTCTAAAAATAAAGATTATTATAAACAAAGTTATTGTTTATTCTCTAAACAAGTTCACTCACCTGTGCTAATCAGCAGTCCGTCACCCAGAAAAGGCCTTATCAAGTCGTAAGCTGTATTTTTGGTTAATATCTTGGTGCTTTGAAATATTTCCTCAGCTTCTTCGGCACGTACTACATTATATTCGGGTGCTAGTAAGAAATACCACACATAATTCTGGCCCTTTGCTTTGGCAGTGGATTCTCTTATGAAATTGAAAATGGTTGCTGTAATAAAAATATTAATAAATGTTTTTTAAGAAGAAAGTGTTATTTATTTACCGGGCGTCAAGTTAAGAAGATCAAAATTGTTGCCGAATCGGGTTTTTCCAGGAATTACGGCCACTTTGCTCTCCAACGGACTGCCATCCTTTGTTCGCACTCGTTTGCATAACGAAAGAATAAAGTAGGTTTTATTCAATTGTTTTAAAAGCTGCCAAAGGGCCAAAAGCAATACTGTGGAAACCAGTAAAGCGAACCACATTTTGGCCAACCGTTCTGCTGCAAATTTCACAGCCCACTGAGCTTTGGCTAAACCTATCTGAAAAAACTGCGCAAAAAAATAGCTTTTTGTTATCAGATTATTTTATGGTTTTTATTTCCAATAATTGATTGTAGTAATAGAATACAATAAAGTATAGAAAGTTAGAGTGAAAGTGTCCTATTTCTTTTCCCTGAGCTGCAATTTAACTTTAACACTTTGCTGCGTACGCAGAACAATTCCATTTTCGAACGTAAGATCAGAAAGTAAAGTAATGGGTAGTATTCTAAAGTTTCTGATAACCGCTGCGAGTAGAACTTTAATCTCCAGAATGGCAAACTTCTGGCCAATGCAATTCCTTTGACCGGCACTAAAGGGTACAAAAGCGAAGGGATGACGATTCACGGTGTTCTCGGGAAGGAATCGCTCTGGCTGAAATACATCGGGATCTGGAAAGTGCCGAGGATCCCTCATGATTTCGTAGATGTGAATGTTGATTTGAGTATCCTTAGGCATGATCAAACCATTCACCACGATCTCCTCTACGCATTTACGACCTATAAAAGGTACCGATGGGAACATCCTAAGAGATTCCTTGATTACACATTCCAAGTAGACCAGTTCGTTGAATTGGAACACACTGATATCATCGCTGTCCTCGGGAAGGTTTTGGATCTCCTCATAACATCTCCTTTGAACATCCTCATGCAAAGCCAACATAAGCAAAGTAAATATTAGACAGGTTGATGTGGTATCGTATCCTTCGAACATAAAAGTGTTGACCTCATCACAGATTCCCTGATGATCGATCTGACCTTCTGCTTCGGCTGCCAAAAGGGTATCCAACATGGCATATCGCTGCTTCTTGCCAAACTCATCCACATTCCCAAGCTTTTTACTCTTAAAGAGACTTCTCCTCTTCTCTATGATGTTGCTGGAAAAGTTGTGGGCTATCTTCAAATTATCCACCTGTTTTCGATAGTCTCCGTACAGATAGAAATACACTATGTTGTAGAAGAAGGGATTGCAAAGCCGCTGTTGCATGACCTCTTCAATGGCATGAATCGATTTGCGATATCGCAAACCCTCCGTCGAATCATCCAACTTTACGCCCAGTGCTGTTTCTGCAATTAAACATTTATGAGAATCAGATAAAAATTCCTGAAATAGTTTAAAAAACCAGACTGTAAACAATTTGTACTTTATGGGCACTTATTATACTTTCAAATATTGCCCATTTATTTCAATTAAAAAGAGATGGAGCACAGTAATCTCTTTATTTGCTAGTCATGATGATTTCGTATTAAATATATTTTAAAGCTTGTGATTTCATTCGATTGAGTTGAATGGACTTACCACAAACATTGTTTAGAGTAAACTGAGGGATGACCTGTTTGAGTTCCAATTCCTTATCCACACTTTGATGAAGGACTTTCACCAGTTTATTGCACTCTTCCCTTAAAAATTATAGGTTTAATAATATATAACGTCTTGTATTTCAAAAACTCACTTAAAAATAGTCAGGAAAGATTGCAGAACATTAAAATGGAAAGCGGGAGTCAGGGCTTTTCTTCTGGAATGCCATACTTGGTCTAGATTTGGGTTAAAACATCTTAGAAGTAATTAAATTAAATACGAAATTCAAAATACCTGTGCTAGTCAGCAGTCCTTCACCCAAAAATGGTCTCAAAAGATCGTAGATCACATTTTTGGTGATAAGCTTGGGACTTTGAAATATTTCCTCGGCTTCTTCGGCCCTCACGACATTATACATGGGTGCACGAAAGAAATACCATAGATAATTCCGACCCTTTGCTTGGGCAGCAGCATCTCTCATGTATTTAAAGATGCTATCTATGATATAATAAATAAATAAAAATATATATTATAGTTATAACAATAATACCCACCAGCTGTAAAGTTTACTAGGTCAAAGTTGTTTCCAAATCGGGTTTTAGTCGGCGTTACGTAAATATTTTTTTCCAGTGCACTTCCATCTTCTGTGCGAATTCGCTTACAGAGACTTAGAATGAAGTAAGTTTGGTTTATTTGCTTCCACAATTTGCAAAAAATAAAAATCAGCACGGGCACAGAAATCAGGACTTCCAAAATCATTTCTAGAATAGCACAGACCAGAGGTCTCAATACCTTTCAGATTAAGCTCTGATCTACAAATGAAGCTGGCGATTAGAACTCAGTGATCGGAACAAAAATTGTGTTTTAACTAATCAATACTACTTAGTACTTAGTATAAAACATGTTCCCATACATCATGCAATGGATGGGTATATTTATTAGTTGTAGAGTTTCAATTGCTTGTAAATTAATTTATGATTATTATGAAAACCTATAGGATTTGCTTGTGGATTTTTTAAAATGTACGTTGCTTCTATATTATAATGGTTTTTTCCATAAAAAAGTAGATAATAATCGGTATAGTTTGAGTTTCATATTCATAGTATGTAAATTTTATTGGACCAAAGTATATACCGTACATAGAGAAAAAGAAGCAGCAATTATTTGACTCTTAAATTTTATTAGGAAATCAATTAAAATAAATACATGTTAGACGCTTCAGAAAACAATTTTCTTACCTTGCACGACAACAAACATACCCTTTAATAAATTTTTGAAAGTTATTTATTCATTGTATAAAAATTATATGTTTGTCTTAAAATGAAAAATACTTTGCCACATAGTGCTTCAATCAATTTTTTTTTTGACCCCATAAAATTGTACTTAAAATCAGTTCCAGGGAAAACACAATCAATCACCCTCATCAGCATTATAATTGGACTTAGTGGACTTTATTTGGTTTAGTTTTTTTACATAAAAGAAATTAACATCTTTGGCAAAAATATCCCTAACATTATTTATCACTATTTCACCCTTTTGGACAATTTCACTTTAACATTCTGCTTTGTACGCAGTACGATTCTGTTCTCAAAAGTAAGATCCTCCAACTGAGTGACGGGCAGTAACTTAAAGTTCCTGATAACCGCTGCGAGTAGAACTTTGATCTCCAGGATGGCAAATTTCTGTCCAATGCAATTTCTTTGACCGGCACTAAAGGGCACAAAAGCGAATGGATGACGATTCACGGTGTTCTCTGGCAGAAAACGCTCTGGCTGGAACTGATTGGGATTCGGGAAATGCCGGGGATCCCTCATAATGTCGTAGATGTGGATGCTGATCTGGGTGTCCTTGGGCATCACCATGCCATTCACAACACTCTCCTCCACGCATGTACGACCAATGAAGGGTACCGATGGGAACATCCTAAGAGATTCCTTGATCACACATTCCAAGTAGACCAGTTCGTTGAACTGGAACACACTGATATCATCGCTGTCCTCGGGAAGCTGTTCCAACTCCTCATAACATCTCCTTTGGACGTCCTCGTGCAGGGCCAACATGAGCAGGGTGAAGATCAGACAGGTCGATGTGGTATCGTATCCCTCGAACATGAAAGTGTTGACCTCATCACAGATTCCCTCGTGATCGATCTGACCCTCAGCTTCGGCTGCCAAAAGGGTATCCAACATGGCATATCGCTGCTTCTTGCCAAACTCATCCACTTCTCCGAGTTGCTTCTGCTGGAACTGCTGCCTCTTTCTTTCGATTATGCGACTCGAGAAGTCGTGGACTATCCGCAGTTTCTCCACGTGTTTTCGATAGTCTCCGCAGAGGAAGAAGTACCAGTTGTAATACATCAGCGGATTGCAAAGGCGTTGTATTATAACCTCTTCGATGGCATGGATGGCCCTTCGGTACTCGTTTCCCTCCGACATGTCATCCAGTTTGACTCCCAGAGCGGTTTCTGTTTTTAAATATAAGGGTTTCTTAATAAATGAATATTTAAACAAAAAAATCCATCTAACCGCATATATTATTTAGAGTAAACTGTGGAATAACTTGGTTAAGACACAGCTCTCCGTCTTCATTTTTGTCCAGTACTTTTAGTAACTTGTTGCACTCTTCTCTGAATTGGAATTAACATTTTATTTATATTTTATAATTATTATTTTAATTAGTTATGAAAACTCACTTAAAAATAGCCAAGAAAGACTGCAAGACATTGAAATGAAAGGCCGGCGTCAAAGCTTTCCTTCTGGAGTGCCATTTTTGATCTAGAAATTAAATCATCATCATCACATAAATAGTCTTTATAGTGTTTTATAAATGAATATGTTAAGATAAATGATATGATAGACGTTAAAATTGGTTTGCTTACAAGTTTTTCGTTAAACCGAATAAATATTTTGTAAAATCATTTTCTAACCATAAAATTAAATTAGAAATTATTAAAGAAAAACGGTTTCACATTAATCCTAAGTCTACAGATGACTCACCCGTGCTTATCAGAAGGCCGTCTCCTAGAAACGGTCTAATCAGTTCGTAGACCACATTCTTCGTTATCAGCTTGGTGCTCTGGAATATCTCCTCAGCCTCCTCGGCCCGAACAACATTATACATGGGTGCGTATAGGAAGTACCACAGATAATTCCGACCTTTGGCTTTGGCGGTGGATTCTCGAACGAAGTTAAAAACACTTGCTGTAATAGAATTTAATAAATGGGTTGGTTATTAAAGAAATAAGTAAAATTACCTACATGGCGTAAAGTTCAAGATATCCAAGTTGTTGCCAAATCGCGTTTTTCCTGGCATCACGGCCACTTTGCTCTCCAATGGACTGCCATCCACAGTTTGCACTCGCTTGGCTAACGAGAGAATAAAGTAGGTTTTATTTAGTTCTTTTAGTAGAAGCCAAAGGGCCGCCAATAAAAACGGGGTCCCCAGCAGAGCGATCCACATTTTTTCACCGTTCGATCCGTTCTACAGGCAATTTCACCGCCCACTGAGCTTTGGCATAGCTTTTGCATTAAACCCCAAGCCGATAATCATAATCATTATTTGTGTATATACTATAGAAGACTGTTCAAAGTAATAACAATCTAGAAACAGCTTTTTCTTATCAGCGTATTTTGTGGTTGATTAATCTCTAATTCGGTTGCAGGGCGTATAAGATTTCTATAATTTTTATTTTTCAATTAGACAATTTTAAAAATATCTTCTTAAAAAGGTTATAGTGGGTAATAAATAGTCGATCATATTTGTCTTATAATTTAAGTCTATTTAATCTGCACGCTTGCGGTATTACACGCGATTATAAATGCGTCAAAGGTCAATTAGGCACGTAATGTAAGTATGTGAAAAAATTTGAGCAATATTAAAACGTTTAGGAGACTAATTTTTACATCAGGTTTAAACAATGAATTATTAAAACATTTTGATTGAAAGGGAGAAACATTACTAAGATGACAATTTAACACGACAACTTTTTAGAGAAAACCTTTTAGACTGTCATAAATTACTAAAAATGACGAAAATGGCATGCTAATGCATATAAATAATATCGTCATGCTATGAAATTTAAAGCGTTACGGTAGAATAGATTTAATCTTCTAATGGTTGGCAATATCAATAGAGAAAAAAATAAAAAAATTTAAAAAAAAAAGTAAAATTAGCAATAGTCATAGTGCAAAATGATGTAATCGACACATTTTAATGCGAATAATATTGTTGAAAACCTCTTAGTAAGATTTCACAGAAAACCTTTAATGATAAAGACCTACTTAACTTTATCTGAAAATCAAATTTTAATAAAATTGTAAATAAATAAATAAAATAAGCAATAGTCCAAGTGCAAAATGATGTAACAGACATATTTTTAAAGCGAAAAATATTGTTAGAAACCCCTTAGTAAGATTTCGCAGGAAACGTTTAATACTAATGAATATAAGGTCTCATAAAACGTTATCTAAAAATCAAATTAAAATAAATTCAAGTGTTTTAGATCTTCCTGAACCCCTACAAAACTAATGGTATTAGCCATTATCCAGCTACTTCATATCAAAACGCATAATAATTGATTGCAGCACTTAACAGATATCGAAATTGTTGGTTAGGCATTCGAAATACTCGAACCTGGTTTACGATCGTTTAATTTCCCCATATGACCATTCCAGATTAATAACAATTTCTTGGCATGACCGTACACAGATTTCCTCCCAGCGGCCAAGCGGCATAGTTTCCCATCGTTCCAACTAGGGAAACCTGGCTGCAGGGAAAAAAATGGAAAAAGAAAAAAAAGGAAACCAGCAATGTCGCATCAAAATGCCGCATTGATTAAAGTTTGATTAGCTGCAGCTTCGCATTTGGGCTTGAAGAATTAATTTGAGCCAAGTTTGTAATGCGCAATGCCAGTTGGCAGTTGCAATCTGGCCAAGAGCAGCGAAGTTGCAGTCGCAATAGAAGTAAATGTGGAAAAAAATTAAATCACAGTAATTACATTTTCTGTGGAAATGGCAGCGATGAACGCGCAAACATGTTGCACGACCAGTGCGTGGACGTGGATGACAAAAATAGTCAATGCAGCAGGAGCAACATCAGCAGCAGCAGCAACAGTCACAGCAGCAACAGCAATCACAAACTGCATTTGGGCATGAAAAGTGCTGTGCCGGCACAATTGGAATGGAAAAACTGGCCCTGTCTCTGTCCGTTTCTTTTTGTTGTTATGAACAAATGTTATTGCAGCGGCAACATGCTGCATGCTGCATGTGTTGCTGCTACAGGAGCAATATCGGCTGCTGGCGGAGCAGCAACAGCACTCATTAGGATGCAAAAGACGTCGCTTGCCGCCTTTTTAGAATTACTAATTGAATCGACGCGATCAGTGGCAATTGCAGCGGCATTGGCCACAAAAACCAACAATGCGGTGGCGGCTTGAATGTTTGTTTGTTTGTTGTTTTTAACCGCTGTGTTGCCGCTACTGTTGCAGCTTCCGCTGCGGCGTGAATAATATACAAACATACGTGGCTACGCCTGCGTTTCTTATTTATTTATGTACGTGATTCTCGGCGATGGTTTGCGATTCTTTTAGGGCAATTCCCGCAGAAAAAATCTGATCCAAAGCAGAGCTATCCTATCCACACATATTGTTGATGCACATCCGCAATCCACTGGGGGGAAATCGCTAAAACAACAGAAGCTGAGTTACTTGGGAACCCAGGATCCTAAAGCATCGGCATTAAAGTTACATATAAGGCTTGGGATTGCAATAAAATTAAGGAGAGCCATAAAGCTCAGAAAAAAATTTAATGAAAGGGGGAAAAGCTATTATTTTGTCTAATAATGATCTGGAAAAATCAAATTGAAATTTAAATAAAAACTAATCTAAACTTTATTAGGCCTTTAATCAATAAAAAGAAATACCAAAGTTATAAAGTTTTGTTTTTAAATACATTTTAGCAAGATTTAGCTATGATTGTTTCTTATAAGATATTCTTATTACAACGTTAATGGGTTTTAAACTTAAAAATATTCACCACTCCTTACTGCCGCATTCCTCAAAGTCTGTGGCACACCAATTTTCAATCTTTTTCAAGCATCTTTTTTGCAAAAATATTCATGTTTTTAATGCTGACCTTACTCGTTGGTTATTTCTGGCTAAGCACAAAGTCATGTAGCAACATGTTGCTCTCGTACGCTGCAACATTTGCTGTGCGGCAACATGACTTTTCAATTATTGCAGCGGCATGTAAAATTTGTTGTAAGCGCTTGCATATTTACTTTAACACCTCGTCGCCGGTGTGGTTCCTTCGTGTTTTTGTGTTACTGTATGTTTCTGTGTGCTATTTCCTTTTTCTTTTGCGTGTATTGCTGACAGCAGACGATGGTGGCGACGAACAGGCGACGCTTGTTAGCCATGTTGCCTCTCCTGACACTTGTTGCACGGCATTCTGCCCCAGCAACCTTTTGCGGTGGCTGTGCCCCAAAGATCTCAGTTCGCTTTTGTGGCTACCATGGGCAATTATTAATTTTTAGATTTTTTAATATTATAGGTTGTTTAAAAAATAGGAACAAAAATTAAAAAATATCTTATCTTACCTTTATATGTTATTTAAATATATTTTCGAATTTCGGTTTTTTCTTTTAGATGTTTACGTCAAACCGTTTTCGCTGCAGAAATTTTTTTATCATTTTAAATGGGTATTTTTTTATTCAGTGGTAATAGCTTAGTTTTCATATTAAGAAGGCTTTTATCTTGTAATAATTAACCAAGTAAATTACTGGATAGAACAACAATAAGTGTCTCTACAAAATACAAAATATTTTTCTTAATTTATAACATATTAAATTCAGTTCTAGCCCACAGTGCAGTGTTGCTTTTGGGTTGCTTTTGGTGTTGATGTCGCTGCTGTGTTGCCGTCGTTGTCGTTGGCGTGTGTCTCTCGCTCCACTAAACTTTTAATTAAAATTTGGTCGTATCACAGTGGCTGGTGCTTCCTTTTTTGTGGCTTGTTAATGTCACCTGAAGGAGTCGGGGGATATACCACTGATTTTTATGCAAATTTGCCAGTCTCGTTTTTCGGTCACCATTTCAGGCAAACTTGAGGGGTTTCGTCCAGGCGACCAGGGGATCAGAACCGATCGGATCGAGTTCCCAGGCCGAGCTGTCATGACCATAATCATCTTTTGAGACGACCATAGACCAACTTTGCCGTCCACTTCATATATAGTATGTCTCTGTAAAAAATATGCAATCGATCAATAAGGCAATTGGCATTTCCCGTCGTTTTAACTGGAAATTGGTTGCAAGAAATATTTATACAAAATATTCTTCCTTTTTAATAAAACCCATATATTTTGAAAGGAAATCTAAAAATAACCTCATCTTCTATTATAAAAAACAAATGATATTACAATATATACAATATATCTTTAAAAAATATGTTAAAATTATCATCGCTAAATAAATAAAAATAATTTCTTTAAATATTTTCGTTGCATCAAAGTAAACCTAAATTGATAAGAAAATTGGACGGGGTCCAACTTAAGTTTCCAATTCGGCGTGGGACAGGTGCATAAAGATATATTAACTCCCGTTTGGATGTTGCATGATCCGGTGTGGCAATTGGCCAAGATTTATTGACATAATGAAGACTAATTCGCGCGTCTGTGGCCGAGCATTTTGACAATTATTTATGTTGTATTAAGTTGTTTGGCGGCAGCGCGTGTAACGATGTAATTAATTGCCATGGATTAGACACTGCCGATGGCCGATGGCTAGCTGTAAGAAATAAAAAACCAAAGACAAGACCTGGTCACGCAGACCTGGTGCCGCAAATGGCGGAGATGCGGAGGCACAGCAAAACCGGGGCACAAACGGAGTCACTTTACTTCGAGCCAGGAAAGCCAAAGCCAAAACACCAAAGCCGCTTAGGCCCATAAACAACCGAGTTTATGCGCGACCATCTGCGACGATCCGAATTGGAAGCGGAATGGAATCAAATCAAATCGAAGCGAAGCACTTCAATTGCCCATTTGGCTTTGATGCGATTTTAAGGCGATTTAAATATGAATATCAAAAGTCTGCCATGATCAATTTTATACACTTTGATTCGCTTAGATGATAGGTGATTTTTCTTGTGAGTTGCAATCAGTTTGGTACATATATTTTTTCAAAGGATGTACAGCTAAAGCCACATATAATAATACCGTCAAATCGATATGCGCATGGTAAATTTGTGGTATTGCATATGCATATCGGTTTTAACAAAATCTCTCTCTCGGGGATTCTCTGACTTCGAAAAAGAGAGGATGAAGCACTTAAATTACTCGTTCAATTCAAAATAGCGCGAGGAAAAAAGACACATTTGAAATTCGAGCTTATCAAGTTAAAATTGATACCACATAGTGTCAAATCGATCATCGTTTTATATCAATTTTTTTGGGTGTATACATTTATTTCGAGTATAACTTATTTCAGTAAAGGCTAAAAAACCAAATGATTAATTTATTTTTACATCGGTTTATTTTTTCCATACGTTTCAAAGGCCTTTCCAAATAAGATAATAATCACCTCCAATCCAAATATTTCTCTGAAATCAAATCAGACTGCTTTAATTTTATGTGCCACACATCGCTTTGCGTATTACTTTCGCATTAGGTTTAATTAAAATTTTAGCTGCCCGAACTAATTAAAAAAACAAATTTCGGTTTTAACAACCGCTTCGAATGGCTCTTGCCCATAAAGTGTACACAGACTTCGGTGGAATCGCCAAATTGAATTTGCTTTCACGGATCCGCAGCTTAATTCCAGCTTCGTATATTTTGTTTTATAGAGCAGCTACCATTATGATGTTTATGGGTCCTAAGCTCATCAAAGTT